GATGAAACAATAAAGAGCTGTTTCAAACGTATGGTAAGTGCTGAGCAAGCCAAAAAGGAGCAACAAGCCTATTTCATAGAACATGATGTTCTAATGCGTCAGTGGTCTCCACCAGGTGCAGATTGGAGTAAGGTCAAGCAGATTGTAGTGCCCTCTGCGTACCGGCAGAAGATCCTGGCCCTTGCCCATGAAAGCCAGTGGTCAGGACACTTGGGCATCACAAAAACATACCAGCTACTATTAAAACATTTCTTTTGGCCTGGTATGAAGCGTGATGTTTCTAAATTTTGCAACAGTTGCCATGTATGTCAGATTGCAGGTAAACCCAATCAGGTCATACCCCCGGCTCCGTTGTGTCCCATTCCTGTAGTGGATCAGCCGTTTGACCATGTCATAGTAGACTGTGTGTGTCCACTACCTAGAACAACATCAGGAAAGCAATACCTACTCACGATCATGTGTGCCGCTACCCGCTTCCCCGAGGCTGTCCCGTTACATAAAATTACAGCGAGATCTGTCGTTAAGGCGTTGACAACCTTCTTTTCAGTGTTTGGCTTGCCTAAGGTCGTACAAACCGACCAGGGCTCGAACTTTCAGTCTAAGGTATTCAAACAAGCAGTTAGCACTCTGGGTGTTAAGCATATTGTGTCCTCTGCTTACCATCCTGAATCGCAAGGTGCATTAGAGCGGTGGCACCAGACCTTGAAGACGATGTTACGCAAATACTGCCTGGAGAGTGATAAAAGCTGGGACGAGGGTGTCCCATTTGTGTTATTTGCTGCCCGTGACGCCGTTCAGGAGTCACTTGGGTTTAGCCCTTCTGAGCTGGTATTTGGCCATAGGCCACGGGGACCCCTCAAAGCTCTGAAAGAGGCGTTTTTGAGCCCACAAGGGGTTTTCAAAACAAACGTCAGCAGTTATGCAAAACACTTCCGTGAGCGTTTGAATCAAGCCAACGCTCTGGCTAAGCAACACCTTGCCGCGTCACAGGGAAAGATGAAACGCCATTATGATAAGGCTTCTGTTAAAAGAACCTTTCAGGTGGGTGACCAGGTTCTCGTGCTCTTGCCTGTCCCTGGCTCAGCCTTGTCTACTAGGTATAGTGGCCCATTTAAAGTTTGTGAAAAGAGAGGGGAGACAGATTATGTAATTTGCACTCCCGACCGCAGACGCAAAACACGTGTCTGTCACGTAAACATGTTGAAACTGTACCATCCGCGGTCACCACCAAAGCCTGCAGGGCTCTGTGTTCCTATTGTAGCCTCAAGCCACCAGGAGGAAGGAGGGGCGGATGGGGGTGATGGGTTAAAACTATGTTATCCCACCTGTTCTAGACCCCGTTTGTCTAACTCTGAAATGCTAAAAGCATTGCCGGGTTTGCTTGGGCATCTGATGTCAGAGCAGCAAGAGGACCTAATTGCCTTAATTAGGGATTATACCTGTTTATTCGGGGATGTGCCAACTGCCACTACGGTGCTAGAGCATGACATTGATGTCCATGGCGCTAAACCTATTAAGCAGCATCCTTATCGAGCCAGCCCCCATAAGCACGTGCTCATGAAACAGGAGGCTGACTATCTGCTGCAACATGGTTTAGCGAAGCCCAGTCAAAGCCCCTGGAGCTCGCCTTGTATAGTGGAGTCTAAGCCAGATGGCTCGCCCCGTTTTATTACAGACTTCCGGAAGGTGAACTCTGTGACTGTGGCTGACTCACATCCTCTCCCAAGGGTTGAGGATTGTGTAGACAGTATTGGGACTGCTCAGTATGTCTCCAAGTTAGATCTTCTTAAGGGTTACTGGCAGGTCCCTTTAACTGAACGTGCCTCTAACATCGCTGCCTTTGTTACACCCGATGATTTTTTACAGTACACAGTCATGGCTTTCGGCATGTGTAACGCTCCTGCCACCTTCCAGAGGCTAGTAAATAAAGTCCTCCGTGGTCTGTCCAACTGCAGTGCCTACCTAGATGATCTAGTAGTTTACACTGAAACATGGCAAGATCATTTGGAAACGTTACAACAGGTATTTCACCGTTTGGCACAAGCTACCCTAACTCTCAACTTAGCTAAGTGTGAGTTTGCCAAAGCTACTGTGACGTACTTAGGGAGGGAGGTGGGACGTGGACAGGTCCGACCCATAGATGCCAAAGTGGAAGTGATTAAACAGTTTCCCACGCCTACCACCAGGCGTGAGTTACGTCGGTTTCTAGGGATGGTGGGCTACTACAGGAACTTTTGTAAGAATTTCTCCTCTGTAGTAAAGCCATTGACTGACCTGCTCAGCCCAAAGGTTGAGTTTAGCTGGTCGAGTGAGTGTCAGGATGCTTTTGAGAGTGCAAAAGCCCTCCTCTGCCATTCTCCTGTGTTAGCTGCACCTGATTTGACGCGACCATTCAAACTCGAGGTTGATGCCAGTGCTGTCGGGGCTGGGGCAGTGCTGTTGCAAGAAGACTTGATGGGTTTGAACCACCCCGTTTGTTACTTTTCCCGCAAGTTCAATAAAAATCAGTTAAACTACTCCACCATTGAAAAGGAGACCCTGGCTTTGTTGTTGGCTCTTCAACACTTTCACGTGTACCTGGGGTCCAGCATGTTGCCTCTTGTTGTGTACACAGACCACAACCCACTTGTGTTCCTGGCGCGTATGTTTAATCACAACCAGCGCCTTATGCGCTGGGCTCTGTTGTTGCAGGAATACAACTTAAGTATCCACCACAAAAAGGGGACTGAAAATGTTTTAGCCGACGGTCTGTCCCGTTTGTAACAATGTTTTACTGCTTTTGTCTTTTGTTGTTGTTTATGCTCTGTAACGTTGGCTTCAGCCCAACATAGTTGGTATTTTAGGGGGAGGGGTGTTACGGCCGCTGGCCTCAGGTGGCCCCGCCTTCCTCCCTGGAATCTACAGTGCTCCAGGACTCACGGGGGATTGGCTGGCCCGGACATATGCCCGCCCCAACTTCATGCGGATCCGAGCCTGTCAGACTACACACACCATTGGCTCCCGCAGGAGCCTGGAGTACGACTGACAAGTGACACAGCTGTCTGCAGTTATGACAAGTGACACAGCTGACTGCAGTCACAGGATAGTATAAAAGGCTGAGGAGTCTTCATTCGTCGAGGGACTTGTTGATTTGAACAGACTGTACAGAGAGTCCCTCCCTTTTGCCTTTTGCCTTCTGCCTGTGTTTTGTGTTGCCTCCTGCGAGACGTTTAGTAGAGCAGTGCTCTACTGGTGTTATTAATCGTGGTGTTTGTTTAAAGTTTCTCTGCTGCCTAGTGAGTTGTTTCACTAACGGATTTCAGTTGTGTTAATAAACCTTATGTTTGTCGTCCTATCTAACTCCTTGGTCTCTGGGCTCGTTTATGTTACGTCCGCTGCCGCCTAGCAGAGCCGGGCCGTAACAATGATACACCTATATATGCACTGTCAAAGATACTTGTCTTTGAGTGAAGATTTAAGGTGATAAGACATATAAATAACTGCAACTTGAATCTGTACTGAAGCTCAGTATTTGACACAGAGTTCATGTTCACTGCTGTAATAGCTAATAATGATTAATATAATAACTAGAATATTGGCCATATTATATTTACATTACCAAAGTGATATGACTTTAGTCTCATGAACAACATCAGCTAATTCTTATTTACTAATTAATCTTGAAATGACTGTTCAGTACAGAAATGAAGCCCAAAAATCATGTTTTACTGTCCTGTGGTCTCAGCCTCAGATACTTATCAAATCACACAAAGCTCATGTAGAAACAAACAAACAAATGAACAAAATATGTTCTCCCTCATTTCTGTCAAACCAAGTTGTATGACACGTTTCCAGCGGTTAGTATCACGGTTGCTAGGCAACCTGGGAAGCGCTACGGAGACTAGACCGTCCCATACAGACAAACTTGCCGTTTATTTTGCAAATCGAGCTCAACACTGCCCCTAGCGTCCTGGAGCACTTCCGTTGTGTTTTGGAATTTGCAAGTGTTTTTGAGTTTGCAAGTGTTTTGGAGTTTGTACGTGTTTTGGAGTTTGTACGTGTTTTGGAGTTTGTACGTGTTTTGGAGTTTGTACGTGTTTTGGAGTTTGTACGTGTTTTGGAGTTTGTACGTGTTTTGGAGTTTGTACGTGTTTTGGAATTTGCATGTGTTTTTTAGTTTGCAAGTGTTTTGGATTTTGTACGTGTTTTGGAATTTGCATGTGTTTTTTAGTTTGCAAGTGTTTTGGATTTTGCAAGTGTTTTGGAATTTGTACGTGTTTTGGAATTTGCATGTGTTTTTGAGTTTGCAAGTGTTTTTGAGTTTGCAAGTGTTTTGGAATTTGTACGTGTTTTGGAGTTTGCATGTGTTTTGGAATTTGCATGTGTTTTGAAGTTTGTACGTGCTTTGTCTCTAGGGGCCACCGTAGTTTGCTGGGAAAAGTAGACACCATCTGAGTGTTCACAAGAAGACAATAACCAGTTTCAGGGTGATTTTTTTCTTTTTTGTCGTCTGTCTGTACACAAATTGCTGAACCATGACGAGCTCCAGAACAGCTGCGTGATTCACAGCAGAATTACTGGAAGCACAGTAAAAAGGCACCTGTAGAACATTTTGTTTATCTGATGAAACCGTGGATATGAAGTCTTTTATTCTACTTTAAAGGGGGAAGTTCAAGCTGTTCCACATAAACACCCATCAATCCATCCACCCATGGGCTGGAGCTTATCGCAGCAAAAATGTCACAGGGCAAAAACTGTTTCATAATTTGGATTGTTTAAAGCAGTCAGTATTTCTCTTGAGTGCATGAAGTAGTCACTTGTAATGGTTAAAGAAAATCCACATTATAATTTAAGATGAAAGTTAGTAATTCCCAGTAAGTGTATATTTGTGCTGGACAAATATGCACTTACAGGCTGTTCACACAGGAACACAGATGAGACAAAAGATGAAGGTAACCTTGACTGATTGATGAATGAGGGGAAGAGAAGAAAGAAGCCAGCAGCATAAAGAGACCACAGACCTTGGATGAAACCTTCCTGGTGGAACCGCTGCAAAGAAACCACTACAATCCTTTTAACACAGCCGAACTAAACCAAGCTGAGATGGTTTGGCATGCAGACGTGGGAACTCCTTCCAAGCTGCTGGAGGAGCTCCAGTGGTGCAAAGCCGCTATCAAAGCAAAGAGGGGGCGACTGTGAAGAATCAGGAGAATCTTAAATATGAAACCCAGTTTGTTTTCCATTTTCTGTTGTTCGGTACAAACATTTGTTATCCCACTGACTTCAGTTCTGTACTGCACTGTGGAAAAAGAGTCAAAATAAAGTGATGAATGAGTAGATGGGCTTGAACTTGTGACAAGTTCTACAGCAGGATCTTGTAATCATTTTAACTGTGTGATAGCGAGCTCTAATTATAAGTGGTTATCTCTGTTTTCTATATGATTTTATTTGGTAGCTGCCACATATCATGAGTACATGTGATATTTTTTCATAAAGCCCATTTGTAATTTTTTGATGGTAATCAGTATAGATGGTGACACCAGCTAGAAAATATTATTTTTTGAAGACAAAGTCAACTAGAATTCTTACTTGTTCGACTGTTCGATGTCTGAAATGACTCTTTATACCAGTGGTGTCAAACATAAGGTCCAGGGGCCATAATCAGCTTGGGAAAGACTTAAATCTGGCCCTCTGGACAGTTTTAAAAAATGTGACGGAAAGAAGGCATCAATTTTGTACTCTCAACTGTATTTTCATAAGTTTTACACTACTAACAAAACACTTTCATGGCCATTCATACAACACCAAGGTAATCATGTAACAGATAACAATTAAATGCCAGATGTTCCTTTTTTTTATTTCTCATTACAGAAATGTGACTTTTTTTTTAACAGTGGGTCCATATTTAAAAGGAATTTTCGTTTTCTTTGAATTAACTCTTTTAAATGTATTATTAAATTAGAAAGAGTGTGATTAGTGTCACCAGCATTTCTTTATCGTGTAGAAGAAGAAGCACATTGTTGAACTTGTGCTCATCACACGGATTAAATGTGAAGTTAAACTTTGCTACCCTGACAGAAACAGGAGATTCACTGGCTCAGCCCACTCAAAGCAGGTTGCATGTGGCCCACAATGTAAAATGAGTTTCACATCCCTGCTTTATACTGTATATAAATGATGACATACTGTATATCATTTTCTGTTGCTTAGGAGTGTAGTAGTAGAGGTAGTACTTTTGTTTAATCTCCTACACAGCAAATTCAAAAGTGTTAAATGTTTTGGTGTTAATAGTCTTCTTGCAAAAGTAGAGTTAATTTTACTCTAAGCAGAATCACATTCTTTTAATGTAACTCTGAGGCGTAAAATGATAGTAGTTAAAATAGAGTGTTAAAAATGAGTGTTTCTCTGTCAAATCTGGAGGTGTTACAATGGAAACATTAACTCTTGACCTCTTAACTCTGAACTCCTAGAGGGGCTATGACACCAATAGAGTAAATTCACAGACTCCGCCCCCAGCACGGCTCCAATCGAAGCTGAAGTGAAGCCGTTTCAGAACATTTTTCTCTACATATTTGAGTTGTTTGCCATGCTTGGTAAGTCATTTTTTCAAAGATTGTTTCAATTATTATTATGAGCTTTTACTTCTGTGGCTCTTTGGAGTTGAGACAAAGCTGTGTGAAAGGCATTAGCCATGTTGCTCGGTGATAGCATAATATTCTGTTTTAGCTAGCTGAAAGGTATTGTTTGCGGGCAAATACCACAGCCTTGAAAAAAAGCTTGCATGTGAATTTTCAGTCAAACTTTTGGTCAAATACACCTAAAACAATGTCTAGAATGTGAAATGTTGGTATAATGGTGCTACTTGAAGCCTGAAAACGATCGCCCATAAAAAAACAAAAACGAGCAAACAGCAGTAGCTGACGTCCTGACTGGATTCTACGTTAGCATAGATCCCTCCAGAGTTTTGTGCACACGGTTTAGGTAAAAATGAAAAAGGTTGAGGTTTTACATTTAGTTCAGTATTACCTGTTGCCTGTGTCTTTGTCTTTTGGGAAAATACTTTACACAAGTAATGGCTCAAAGAGGATTCCTTTTTTTTATTTTTTACTGTGCTGCAATTGTTTACTGGATTATTTGTGCCATTAATTAATGTCAACTAATTTTTATTCGATCTCCGCACAGGATATGCTTGTGAAGATGGAATATGGGGGAGAGCAGAAGTGCGTTGAAGTTCCACAAAGGGATGAATGAAGGACATGCATATTGTATTGAAGAAATAAGTGATGAGAATGCTGTTATTTGCATTTACCAGCTCATCTATGTCAGACCTTTTGATAAACAAAATTCTAATGAAAGTGAGAACATGTATACTGTTACATCTTTCAGAAAATGTTTTGAAATTGTGGTGCACAGTTCAGAATAAATGTTTTTCAAAAACCATTGCGTCTTTTTAGTAAATGTTTATTTCCAAAGGAAATTTCTAGAAGTTCAGAACAGTAAAATTCCCGCTTTTTAGAATGAATTAGAAGATAACTCTTACGTAGTTAAACTAAAATACTCTTTGAGAGTTAATATATAAACTCTTAACACCAAGTGTTAAATTATCAACTCCAGACAGATTTGGTGTTTAACACTAAATCAGAGTTAACGTACCAACTCTCCAAAAAGAGTTAAATTAACACTCTCTGGTGTGGACCCATATAGACACTTTAATAGTGTTGAAATCAAATCCGACAGTGTTAATTTGGACATGCTGGATTTGCTGTGTAGCACTTCTTACCAAATCTCTCCTTTGGCTCCAAGAAGCATCCTGTCCACAGCTTTGACTGCACACTGCCTTTTTAAAATGCTTTTCTGATGGTTTGATCTCTTGCTAATCCAGTGCACATGTTAAAGTGTCCTCAGGTGATCAGCAGGCCATCCTAAATTGCCTCGATTGGATTGGAAGCGTGTGCCACTGAGCTGGACCTCTCCACTGTGTGCTGTTGGAGCTTTTTGGAGCATTTTAATGGCATGATCAAATTCTGTGTGGTACAGACTGTCTAGGGCTCCAGTTTTAGAAAGGGAAACTTCAGTATTTTATTAGTCGGTACTCATTAGCACTCATTAACAGATCTGTGTTTAGGGTTTGCACTGCTACACAAAACTCTCATCCAATTACAGTCACTTCTGGCTCCAAACAGCAAACATGGTGGAGTCAGTGGGTGCCAGCAGCTGTCAAATTCAGGTTTGTGAAACAGGTTGCTGTGACTTAGTGGTGTGGGAGATCTCTTATCTGAGCGCATGCTGGATTCAATATTAGCTGCCTTAATGTGGACCAAATTGTCCATGACGGTGTACAAGACATAGTTTTTGGATTGCACACTGGTGAATTTGACACCCTGTCGTTCCATATCATTAAAAAAAAACTCACATTGTTACCTTTCAGACTTCAGTGGTCAGTGAGTTTATTACAGCTGCAGGACTGTCAGCAGACATTAAAATGGACTTTTTAAATTAACCCATCAAAATGAGCACAACAAACTCCACTGACAGACAGAGCAACATAGTCCAGACAGGAAGGGCAGAACAAGCCAGTTTATTGGTCTGTCTGTCCGTTTGTCCTTCCTGCTTGTCCCTGTTTCTGGCTGTCTCTGTCTGTCTCCTCCACTGTCGCATTCAACAGAAGGACGGATCACTATTAAGCAGGGAAAAACAGCGTAATGCGCCAGTCGGTGTACTTGAATTTCCTCTCGGTTGCACTATTTGGCAAAAGAGTGAGGGGCGGGGAGAGAGAGTGAGAAGAGTGAAGGCAGCAGCAATACTGCCGGAAGTGTGGCTCTGGAGTACAATAAAGGCTTTATTCTCGCCTGTATGACTATTAAGTTAAATTAAATAAATTGATAGGAAATTAGATTTTTTTTTACATATGAAAATTAAGAAAAAAATACCTTTGTGAAATAAATATAGAAGGACTATGAGTAACAGCTTCTCCTTTCTTTAAATGCTTTTGATATGATTTGAATTTGCTGGTGTTGTAATAATATTTTGTATGATTCAAGTTCAATATGTGAGTTCTTTCCTATGCAACCTCAGAAAATAAAGAATATCATGTCTATGTCTTGCAAAGTTAACTATAACTTTTATCTATAAATTTACCTTTTCTTTTTTTCTGACTATTTTTTTCTTAGAAAATTTACGTTTTTTCACCATAAAGTTGCAATTTCTTCCTTGCACATTTTCCTGTTTTTTCCCCTTAAACTTTGTCATGAATTTACTTAGTTTTTTTTCTCAAGTTACCAATTTTCTTTCATCAATTTGGCAGATTTCTTTTCTTATGAATTTTCCTGTTTAGTTCTTGTAAATGTGGCAGTTGTTTTCTTGCAAATTTTCTTGCTTTTCCTCATACATTTGTCTGTGTTTTGTTGTCAACGGTTTTCTCATTAATGTATCATTCTTCTAATAAGTTTGCAGATTACTTGTAAATGTCCCCCTTTTTTGACACGTTTCCACATTCATATTCCTACATTTTCTCCCTAGTGTGTCAATTTCTTTTACTTCTCTTATAAATTGGCCTTTTCTCATAAATGTGGCTGTTTTTTCCTGCAAATGTGCTTATTTTTCTTATACATGACCCAAACACAATTCATGAAAATTTGTTTTTTTCTACTAACTTTTCCAGCTTGGTCTCTACTTGTCCAGCCCCTAATTTTTAGCTATTTATTTATTTTTAATTCCTCCAGTGGCACCAATAACTTCGTCACAAAACAGCTGCTTGTTCGTTCGTGTGGTTAAAGTTTTGCACGTCTTTCTTTTGGGCGCTTTTATTATGGAAGGCTTGACCGGAAACATGGCGCCTGGCCGCCTTTAGCTTATCTCTTCGTGGTGAGATGGCCGTGGAGTCTCAGAGGTTCCTGTGAAGTCGAAACGGGCTCTGTGGACAGACAGCAGGAGGCGAGAGAAAGTCCCTCGTTAACGGTCCTCTTCGGCCTCCGTGTTTTAAATGATATCAACGGTAAGACGGAAACAAACATGCACGTGTCTGCTAGCTAGCTAGCTAGTTAGCGCGCAGGTAAACAAGCAGAAACAAAAACACCGTGAGCGCTCGTTTTGTTGGTTACGTTCTCCCGCCGAGGGGGAGGGGCGGGGGGAGCAGCAGCAGCGGCAGACTGGGTTAGGTCCGTCTGCCGCTGCTGCTGCTGCCTTTCTGTCTGGGACACTGCTGCCTTTTCCGTAGAAATGCCTTTCCCGGACGCCCCCTTGTCTTCCGCAACTCTGAGGCCCCTATCCGCCCCTTTCCCCTCTCATCTGGAGCTGTAAATAATAGTGAGTATAAAAGAAACCGAGCAACATGGCTGACGCTGGCCCTGCAGAACCTGCTTGGTCGTTTTGTCAGTGCAGATGATGACTGTATGATGATTATTGTGTACATATTTTTTCTAACTGAGCAGATTTGCTCGATGCTCATCAGACTCCCTTGCAGAGAATAAAGGAAGAGGTGTGGGGGCTCGTGCTGCTGCTGCCATGCTGCAGATTAAAAACAGTGTGTGTAAGTCAGCCTCTGGGTTTGCTGCATTGTCTCAGTCAAATGCAGCCAATAAAGTAATTGGTTTTGCATGTTACTGGAAGCGGATTTAAATCCTCCAGCCTGATGGTAGCTACGCCCCCTGTGCCAACTTGTAACCAAATCAAAGCAAAGGTCACCTGGAGGCTGGTCCCCCAGGTGAAGCTGTAGCTTACCTGCTGTTGCTTCCCTCACTGAACAGAAAATCAGTAAGGTTTGGGAGTGAATGTGTATTTTTGTCTTTGTCTTTTTGTTTTCTTAGCACCCCAGTGAATGTTAAATATTTGATTTTCCAGTCCTGCTTTTTTGTGTAACCTGAAGGTGAAACCGACTCTACCTTTTAGTTTCTCTATTTCTATTTTAATTTTAGCCTACCTGTGTGTCTCTCCTGTTGTTTATCTGCTCTGATGTATTTTTGCACTAGTAAGCCAGTCACTGCACCTCCTCCTCCCTCTTCCTTTTCTATTTTATGTCAGGGTCCAGACCTCCAGTGCTGAAAAATGAAGCAAAAAAACAAACAAAACAACAACCCTGCAGTTCCTCTAATGGCCACTAGAGGCTCCAACAGTTGTTAAAGCTGTTAAAATGGCCAACTTTACAGTTTACAAATTTTCTTGAAGCCAGTAGTGTCGTGGTTACTTTGTGCACTTAGCAAGTGAAAGGTTGCTAAGCTCAAAGCTAATATGCTTTAATGTTGCTACAGTCACCTGTTTCAGCATTCACCTGTCCGTCAAAGAGGCCATGCCCCTAACTTTAAACCTCAGCAAAATCACAACAGGTGACTTATATAAACGTTATGTAGACTGTATAGTTGCCATGCAGGTGGAAAATATCCATAAAGACCAAAACTGTTTTATCAGGTTGCAAACATTTTAACATGATGGTCTATGAGGACTGACTCTGTTGTAACCAGCCTCTAGTGGGCATTAGAGGAATTGCAGTTTTTGACACTTCCACGTTACATCATTGTTATCATGGACAATGATGTCCCATTGTCCATGGGACATCATTGTCAGTGATGCCTGTAGTCTGTAACACAAGCTGACAGAGGTCAGTGATGATCATACAGTCGCCCTTCTGGTGTTTATTAATGAAAGAAAACCATTTAAAAAAACATGAAGAAAATGAATAAATTATATAAAGTCAGCATGATAAGAATCTAAATGAGTGGCTATGCCGTCAAAGACACCAGAACACCAAACCTGCCAGAAACCTTTTTGAGCTCAGTGTTACACTGTTTAAAAGCACATGTTAGGGAAACTCTAGATTTATTTTACTTTCTGAATCACGACCCTGAAGAACAGTTTGGGCAGTGCTGGGACTTGATGTAATCCAGATGTTTTGGGAGGTGAAAGAACCCCAGAATTCCTCCATAGATTTTTCTAGTCTGGGTTTCCTTACGGTACCCCTACAGAGTGTGTGAGTACTCGTATTACTGTTGTTGTGGAGACGGATCTGTTCACGCAGTCACATTGCGGGGATGTGCAGCTCTTTCCAGTCCCCGTGAGCTCAGGTGTTAAATCTTTAAGGTTCACACTTGGTTACGGGTTAAGCTCGGGAATGTTGTCAGCCCTGATGGGGTAATTCTCCAGGAAATGAATGCAAGTGAGCTATTAGTTGGACCGAATGACGCTGATTCGTTGCTGTCCAGATTTCCTCTTCCCCTCAGGACGGCAGATGACTAATCCTGTGTTGCTCCAGGCAACGAGAGGAAAATCATCACCAGCTGCAGCCAAGCACTGCAGAGCGTCTCTGGTGTTTCTGGTGGGTTAGTCTCCTCTGCAGGTGAGCGGGAGCGTGTTTGAACATCTGCTCTGCTGATAAAACCATCAGAAAACCCGTTTTTCTTTCCTCGCTAGTTCTGCTGCCCAGCACCAAACCATTTGCTCTCTTATTGTGAAACGTGTGCTGATGGATCAACCCAACGAGTGAGCAATCAGTAGTGAAGGAAACATACAGCCTCTGAGGCCGGTTTCACAAAGATGGAGCTTGATTATGGTTGATTTAAAACGAATAGAATACCTTCATACTGAAAGAACACATCCAGCTGCTTACCCCAGTAGAAAATGTTGGTTAGAAGAAGAGGAAGCTCACAGGGAATGCTTAAAACGATTAAAAATGGTGCTGAGGTTATGTGGTGGGGGTTTTTATTTTTTTGTTTCTGTGGATAGATCGTGAACAGGATGTCAGCAGTCAGATTCGGGCAGTTTAGTAGTAAATCATGGCATTTTTGCTAAAGTGGGCGTTTATAGAGATTCACAATGGCTCATTCTTCTGCAGAAGTATACAGTGTG